TGTTGGTCATTTTCCCCCAAAGTGATCGGTTAAGTAGCCTTTTCTAGGTGACTCTGAGTTCTCCCCATGGTTAAGGCTTGGCGATTTAGGGTTTGGGGCGTCGAATTGTGGCGCTGGGCACGGAGAAATCTGGGGATCCAAGCCAGATAATTGCTCGGCGCATTATTGGATGTTCGCGAGGTTGCGACAGACAGTATGTCATCATAGTACGTTCAGCGTCCAGATTGCGTCAATGGTTGTGTATGTAGCAAGGATGTCTTTTGTAGGGGTCCAACTGCCCAAGCATCATGTCCCACTCTAAGCTATCTCTACAGCAACCTGGTTTAGCCCACATCATAGGCTACATAGCTTTGGGCATGGACTTGCGGGATCAAATGTTTCAAGCTGGTCCCTCACTATTCGCGAAGCCACCTACGAATTACCCCTGAGTCCTGAGTCCACCCCAGCCTAAATGCACGAAGCTTCTCTGTGCCTCAACGCATCTAAGCCCCCAAGTCTACATGAGGTGTAGTCTAAGCTCCATAAAGGGGATTCTATAGGGGATCATAATATAGGGGACTACTATACGGGTTATTTAGGGGGATACCAGGAGTTTAGACAATGGCTCAAATTATCGCCCAGGAGACACCCAACGAACATACCCGAGGGATCCAAGTCTGCAAATAATACCTACATTGGGCCCAAAAGTCTGTAGATATTACCTACGTTGGGCTATTTGGATCCCTAGGGATAACCTTAAACTTTACGAAGCCTAAACCCTAAACCCTAACCCTAAACCCTAAACACTATAAATCCTAAACCCTAAACCCTAAACCCTTGAGGAAACCCTTAAATCCGGTCAGGGTTCTTGTTCCTCACTTGCCATTCATCCTCACCGCGCCTCATGACCCAGAGCTCACAGCATCTTGGCCCCACAGCGGGGGCTTAGGGGTGGGGGGTTTAGGGTTTAGGATTTAGGGTTTAGGGTTTAGGATTTAGGGTTTAGGGTTTAGGGTTTAGAGTTTAAGGTGGAGGGGGAGTAGTGTTAAAAGGTTGCGACGGTAGTTCTGCGGAATGGCCTACACGTATATACATACTCTCCATATACTGTCTATATAATTTTTTTTATGTAATATAGTCGTTTCCACTTTATGTTCCATTATCCCTATATATCCCCAATGTATTCCTATATAGGGTGGGTCGGGTGGGTTCGGGGACGGGGACTTCAGGAGGAAGAGTGCCAATGACAACCTTTGATGACGTGTTCAATTTCAGGTCAACAAATCCCAGCACAACATTTTTCAAGGCAGTGACTCATGCAAGCTGATGTAGCTTCAGACCGGGTAGGGTTTTCCAGTGCGCTTGGGATTGTAGCCAAAAGCAGAAACCGCCAACCGTGTGGTTTCTATTTCTAGAGCTGCGCCAAGGAGTTTCAGGGTTGCTAAACCCTAAACCCCTAAACCCTAAACCCCAAACCCCTAAACCCTAAACCCTAAAGCCCTCTATAGCCCCTCGCCTCACCTGGACCTGGGGAGCGAGTAGCCTCTAAATGCGGTTGGTGCTCACAAATCATGCATGACTCTGTATACTTTTAGCTTGGGAGTGATGGGTCTTAGGGTTTTTAGGGTTTAGGGTTTAGAGTTTAGGGATGGGTCTTAGTATACCTATGTTCTGCTGTACCTTCCCCAGTCTCCTACTCTGTGGGGTTTTGAAGTGGCCAATGCATGATTTTGAGGTCACAAAGCTTCCCAGGTAATTCCTAAACCCTAAACCCTATAAACCCTAAACCCCATAAACCCTAGACACCTTATAAACCCTATAAACCCTAAACCCTAAACCCTAAGCCCTATGAACCCTAGACACCTTACAAACCATATAAACCCTAAACCCTGAACCATTGGTCAGCCTGTTGGATCAGCCACGCTTCGGGAAAGCTACCACCCTGACCCCGTAGCATGGAGCTACATGAGCCATAGCCTAATCTCCATTTAGGGTTTAGGGTTTATAGGGTTCCGGGATTAGGGTTTAGGGGTTATACAGGGGACTACTATAGGGGTGATAAGGGGGTTACATCCTTATTCCATAAAGTGGGGTTAATGATAGAGAATGGAATGGAAGAGAAGATGAAATGGAAACTATTATATAAGTATACACATAGGGTTCTATAAGGATTATATGAGCTATAGTGTAATCTCCTTAAAGGGAGGTTATATTGGGGCTGAAATAGGCGACTACTTTGGGGATCAGTAAGCGATACTAGGAGTTTAGACTATAACCCTAGAATCCCTATATAACCTCAGTTTCAAATTCATTTTCCATCTTCCGTTCCATTTGATTATCCATTATGGGGGTTATTATCGGGGATACTAGGAGTTTAGATTGCAGCTCACAAGCGGTTTAGAGTTTGGAGCTGGAAGCTGCGGCTGTCTGAACCCGCGTCCCCAGCGATGGGCTCTCAAGACCGAGCTCCGAAATCCAAACTCAAAAAAGGGTTCAGGGTTTTGGGTATTAGGGTATTAGCGTTTAGGGTACTCAAAAACGAGCTCCTTCACCTGATCTACTTGCTCCCTGATGGCAGACCTGAAAGAAGTTGCTAAACAGTCCTTAGCCCAGGCAGCCTTGATTGTTGCTTGGCGGCAGCCAGTACCGAGGTACCCCAGTAGTACAATTCCCCTTTCTATTTTGGGGTCTCTTATTAAAACTGAACAGCAGGAAAAAGGGTACCTTCAACATCAGGGGGTTACTGAGGAACCTAGGCACATGTATGGGCAGGGTTCATGGGGGCTTATAAGCACATGGCCAGTGGCGGCGTGGGCCAGGGAAAAGAGAGGAAGTGGAGGAAAGCCCCATCAGCCGGAAAGCCGTGGGGCGAGGCCAAATCGATAGGTACCCGTTGGGGTAATATTAGGGATATATTAGGGTAACATAGGGATAATGGAAAATGAAATGGAAACTACCCTAAACCTTAAACCCTAAACCCTATTTAGGGTATAGGGTTTGTAGGGCGGAGAGAGAGCAGCCAGCCCTTTGAACCGTTGGCGGAGCAGTTGGAGGCGCCAAGCGCAGCACGCGGCCAGGTCAACTTACAGCTGGCAACAGCCCTGGTGGGCCTGGACATGTTGAAGGTTTAGGGTTTAGGGTTCAGGGTTCAGGGTTTAGGGTATAGGGTTTAGGGTTTAGGAGGTGGACAGCTTGAAGAAGGAGCTCACCGAGACTTTCCGATTCTTGTGTGCTAGACCCCAAGATGTTGAGCGTACAATTTTCACTGCGAACCGGATACACAAGGTCAGAAGCACGCCAGCATCCATTGTTGCACCACAGCCACATTTTTGAATATCAGGGCACCCATGAAGCACCCAATAAAACAGAGTAAGCCTGAAATCTCCATGACACCGGAAATTCACCTAAGAGGTTCAGAAGTCCCCATGGCAGAAAAGCAAGTTACTAGATGGTCATAGTCTCATAGTGATGGGTTTCTACCGTGGCAATGGAAACTTTGAGACACGCAAGCCCTCGAAAACACCTAAACCCGAAACTCTTAGGGCTATACGGGTGTTTTTGGAGATTGTGCAGAAAGGCTAGCCCTCAAACCTACACCCTGAACCCCAACGCTGAATCGTAAACCCTGAACCCTAAAAGCCAAGGCATAGGCATCAAAAAACATTTTGACAAGGCATCAAAAAGAAATNNTGAGCGTTTCAGCTTGACTATTATTACAAATATTATTACTATTACTATTACTAATACTATTACTATTACTATTTTCTGGCCTTCAAATTTATTTTTGATGCTTATTTAATCTTTTTTGATGCCGGGGCGCCAAGATTCAATTTTTTCTTGATTGTTTAATCAAATTTCTTTTTGATGCTTAGCAAATTTTTGTTGATGCGTCAGCCAAAAGCCAATGGGGATACCTCAGTACCTGCTTCTCGAATACCTAGACGCTAAAGCATCCAAAAGGTACGTAGAAAACTGACCTTGTGAGCTACTTTCAAGGGTTTGGAGCTATAATTGTACTTACTTTTGGGGCCAGGTGGTTTGATCATGCGGCCGGGCCAAGTATGCAGACCTCACCCAGCCTCGCATCGAGGTTTAGGGTTTATGGGGTTTAGGTTCATGTGTACTATAGTCTAAACTCCTTAAAGGGGGTTATATAGGGGATTATATAGGGGACTACCATAGGGATTCTTAAGGGGGATACTAGGAGTTTAGACTATAGCTCAGGTAGAGATATAGCTAAGCTGTACACTGTACACTCTACAAAACTGCGCCAATAGAATGCTAAATAAGGACCCGCACAGCTCCCTTGCAACCCTCATATTCCTAAAGTCCCTCAGATTCCTACTTTTTGAAAAAAGCCCTCACATAGTTCGAAAAGAAACAGATTTGGGCGACCCCAACCTCAACCCCCAAACGCAGGGCAGCGTAATTCTCATATGCCTCTTATAGGGCCCCTCTTATAATGGCTCGGGGTTACCAAAGCCCTCTCTAAACCCCTAAACTCTGCATCTCCTTCTATGCCTTTGCAAAGGGACTATAGTCCTGTTATTAGTTTCAGACAAGCCACTCTATGCTCCCCCCCAAGATTGGCCACATGAGCCTTTATGTCAGCCTGAGGGGGTTCGGGGTTTAGGGTTTATTGCACACCTGAAGATGCCTTTATACATTCAATCCCTATAAACCTCCATATGAGCCTAGTGTCCATGTCATTTGGCAGTTTTCGTGTGACTCGACATTGATTTCCAGCCCTCAACCTTGAATCCGATAAAACCTGTGTACGCACTTAAGTATATCGGCGCGGTTTAGGCGCCCTCCTTTGAAGGGCTTTTGAATATTTGGGTTGGTATTATAAGCTCCATGAAGGGGAGGGGGTTATTAATCATGGGTCTACATTAGAGCCCTAAACCCTAAACAGCAGTTTCCATTTTCTCTTCCATTATCCCAATATAACCCTAAGGGGTTATGCAAGTTGGGTCTACATTATCTTCCACCCCAACCGTGCTTGCGTAGCCACCAAGATCATGCAGTCCGAGTTCGACCGCGGAGTACATTCCATTGTGACCTCCGATGCCTACAAGCCTGGAGGGCTAAACTCCGTGGAAGCTATCGGGTTTAGGGTTTGGGGTCTAGGGTTTAGGGTATTAAGGTTGAGGATTTAGGGTTTAGGATTTAGGGTCCAGGGTTCAGGGTTTAAGGTATAGTCCCCTTTAGAAGATAGAATATGGGTTTGTGAAGATCTTGTTATGATATTTTCTATCTACTTTATATGGACTATAAACCCTGGAGTTTTGGATCAGTATTTGACTTACTCCTTAGGTCCAGGTATGGGGTAGATTCAGGATTCAGGATTTCTAGTTGAGGGTCCAGGGTAGGTTTTAGGGCCCCGTAGGGTATAGGCTGTACCTGAACCCCAAAAAATTGTGGAATTCCCAATTAAATCTGCTCCCAAGATTACTGTTAAAACGGCCAATAATAATTGTGGCTCGGATCCTTTGAATAGGGGTTGGTTCCCTGGCACGACTCTTAAGGATTAGGGATCTCCTTTGTTTCCAAGACTTGGATGGTTTTTGAATGGCCTTTATACAGCAGTCAAGATCAATGCGGTTTTACTTGGGTTTATTGCTATTTCACATCGTTTTTACTTAGTTCGGATTAGATTTAACGTAACAGTCTATGAACTTTCGTCGAGAATAAGATTTTAATCTGAATTCAAAAGGCTCTTTCCAGATGATTATTAGTGTGTTTGACTACGTTTCTGAACTGATTTTAAGCTGGTTTAGTTATAAAGGTATTCAGTCCACGTTAATGGATTTTACCTTGACTTTAATGGGTGTTATTACGATTGTACTACGATTTTGGTTCGATGAAACTGTTGTTTGATGTAACCGAATTTTATACGACCCTAATGACGTACGATAAGTACTCCCCCCTAATAAAATGTGGCTCGTAGTATACGCATTAGGGCGGTGGAAGCCCTTTAATATCAGGGGGAAAAGATTGCCAACGCCATGCAATCCCTTCAAAAGGAATTGGTCAGGGTACATCACCCTCAGACAAGGGATCTCAAACCCTAGAAATCATGCCTATCTTGGGGCCCTTCAGTCCATAAATGTTATTGTTTGGAGCCTTCGAGGTTGCACACTTCAGCCTACTAAGCTGATCTCTACAGCGCTCAAAGCCAGAAAGGCCTTAAGCCGAACTTGTAAATCGCAGACCGTAGACCCTAAACCCTATAATCCCTACACCCTTCAACTCTGAATTCTGCAAGCTGAGGGCATAAGGAGGAGGGCTTGCATCCAATGCGCAGCTACAACTCAAGCTCCCTACTTCCCTCCCAGCTTTCCCTTCCCACCCCTGACCCCAGGACCTCTGATCCTACACCCCTGACCCTGATCCCTACCCAAGGGCTCCCATGTAGTTCCTTTTTGGGTCTGTTATGCTTCTTGATTAAGGGAGTATAATATATTACCCAAGGAACTACATAAGAGGGTCTGGGTAAGCCCCCCAAACTAACCCTTACGCCCTGCCTGCAGTGATCGGAACCTGGTGCTCGTCTCCGGCTTGAATGTCGACATAGCGCCTCCCGCCGGCGACATGGAGGTGGAAGTTTCAGGGGGGTTTAGGGTTTCAGGGTTTAGGAAATTCAGGGGTTCAGGGTTTAAAGATTTATGTTTTAGGGAGTTTAGGGGTTCAGGGTTTAGGGTTTCGGGAGTTTAGGGGTTCGGGGTTAAGGGTTCAGGGCTTTAGGGAGTTTTCCATCAAAGGCTACCTTGAGGCCCTCAAGGGCCATTGATTGTGAACCCCTTATAGACCCCAAGCCGCTTTAGCTTCCGGAATCCGAAAAAGTTCCATCCAGAGCCCGAATCAAGCACCAAACCCAACCCAGAGCCCCAAAACTATGACCAGAACCCCTAAAAAGGGTCTATGTTCAGGATATATTGGGGGTTTGTCGTCCAATTCCACACCAACGGAACATCCAAGTTGAAGGAGTCTCAGCCCAGCACGAGTTCCGCAACCCCCAAGCGCAAACTCCTCTGTGCCACTGACGCCATGCTGTCCGATTATATCAACGTGGCCCTGATGAGTGGAAGGACTGCGAAGGTCCCAGTCACTATGGATCGCCCGCTTAAGCGTGTCAAGCTTGAGGCACAGAGCACGCTGCAGACTGGCATGGGTGTCCTGCGCGACTCCAAAGAGCATATCTTGGATGACAGCCAGACAGCAAGCGCAGCCGGTCTGAAATCGGGAGATACTCTTACCCTGCAAGTAAGGCAGACCCGCCTGGCAAGCCACAAGCTCGGGATGGCATTTGCTGCTTTGAAGGGGGATGGGTCCGTGGTCACCTGGGGTGATCCGAAGTTTGGTGGTGACAGCAGCAGAGTCCAGGGACAGCTCAAGAGCGTGCAGCACATCCAGGCAACTTTGGGTGCATTTGCTGCTGTTCTGGATGATGGATCTGTGGTCACCTGGGGTCATCCGGAGCAGAGTGGTGACAGCAGCAGAGTCCAGGAGCAGCTGAAGAACGTGAAGCACATCCAGGTTACTTAGGCAGCATTTGCTGCTGTTCTGGAGAATGGAGCCGTGGTCACCTGGGGTGATTCTGCATTGGGTGGTGACAGCAACAGAGTCCAGGAGCAGCTCAAGAACGTGCTGTACATCCAGGCAAGTCGAACTGCATTTGCTGCTGTTTTGGACAATGGATCGGTGGTCACCTGGGGTCATCCGGAAGTTTGGTGGTGACAGCAGCAGGGTCCAGGCACAGCTCCAGAGCGCGCAGCACATCCAGGCAACTCACTCGGCATTTGCTGCTGTTCTTGAGAATGGATCTGTGGTCACCTGGGGTGATCCGAAACGGGGTGAGCTCAAGATCGTGCAGCACATCTAAGCCACTACTGAAGCTTCTACCGCTGTTCTTGAGAATGGGTTCGTGGGAACGTGACTCCAAAGCCAAGAAAGGCCTACACGAGGCAGAGTGGCTTGGGCGTTTGAAAGCACCGCCACCGACAACCCAGATAAAGCGTACCAGGAGTGCGTAGGGGTTGAGGATGTACCTCAATCCGTTCAGGGTCGAATGTTCATGGTTTAGGGTAGGGGTTTGGGGTATAGGGGTTCGGGACATTACCCCCACAACGGAGAACCAAAAGAATGAGAACATAGGATCTGGGATTACGCAGCGTTGTTGGTGAAGTCGTGGGTCAAGGTAGATTCCTAGGGGCCCCAGATAAGATACACCTTGGAAGAAACCCGTGGGTTCCCTTATATAGGAATAATGGAAAAGAAAATGGAAACTACCATTTAGAACCCGAAAAGGTTTAAACACTATAAACCTAAGCCCTAGTTAAAACTCAAATCAAAGTCAGCTTTCTCAGTCTGCAGGCGTTCCCGCAGACGATGTTCCTCCCTTGGGCTGCGCCTTGGCGATAAGAGATTTCTTGGGTTTAGCTCAAAATGCCCATTGGGGTAATACCAGGGTTATATTGGAATAATGGGAAAATATGAACTACTATAATGGGTTATATAGGGTATAGGGTTTCGAGTTTAGGGCGGACCTAGTGCTGTAGTTTAGGGGGCTAGTCGGGGAACATGTGAAGTTGCTCGAAAGCTCCTTCTACAGTGTCTAGGACGGATCCCTCTATTTCCTGTACAGCCCATGCACATCGTGCAACCCTAAACCCTAAACCGCTGGATTGCAGCGAGAAGTTTACCCTGCCACCCTCGCCAGAGCGTTTGTGCGTTGAAGTTGGTTCGCTAAACCCTCAATCCCTAAACTCCCCACCCTAAATTCATTCTAAATCCCTAAGCCCTAAACCGCGTACGGGTATACTGGACGCTGAGTTGGGGAGTGAATCCTGATAATGATCTTTTTGTATCGCAGATAACAGTCGGTAGATTCCGTATTCCACTCTCCCGTCAACTTACTGGTTGTCCCTAGGGAAGTAGGGATTATAGTCCCTGTATAATCCCAATGATCACTTAGTCCCGACTAATGCCCAGAAAGTAAAGCAGCAGTAAGATCCTAAACGTGAAGTCTCAAGCCTCTAGGGGTTTAGGGTTTAGGGATTAGGGGTCAGGGAGTAGAATCTAGGAATTAGGGTTTAGGCACTTGGGTTCAGGGTATTTCTCTGGTGCTTTGCAGGGAATGGTGGAGTGGATTGTAGGGGCTATTTATTACCCCTCAGTCCCTGCGACCGCGAGGGCTCCAATCGATGCACTTGGCGCATTCCAATTGGTAACGCCATCACTGGCAAAGCTGGTCATGCCCCTACCCAAGGGCTCCCATGTAGTTCCTTGTGGGTCTGTTATGGTTTTGGGGTAAGGGAGATAATATATTACCCAATAAGGAACTTCATAGGAGTGTCTGGGTAAACCCTAAACCCTCTAGTAGTTTTTGTTGAGTCAATGGGGTATTGTCGCCACCCGGGCTTTCCCTGATCAATGTGAGTGCTCGAATAATTCCTATGTACATTCTAGTGAGGACCTGCAGAATCCGTACATGAGTTATAGTCTAAGCTCCTTAAATGGGGTTATGTAGGAAATTCAATAGAGAACTATTATAGGTGTTATTGCGGGGTTACTAGGATTTAGACTATGGAAATTTTGGTCTCTACATATCTCTAGGGTAACTCTGAGGAACCCCCAAATATCTTTAATGTTTTAGGATCCACTTTCAGACCCCGAAGAAGTGTCAATGCTTCAAGGCCAATTAAGCTTCAGCCTTATCCGTGCTCAAAAAGTTTTGATACAGATAGGTGCACAGGGACTAATGTAGGGGCAATATGGTACAGGGTGGGGGAGGAGTATGTACACCTAAGCCACAGCCACATTATAGCCTACATTCTCCTACAGTTTCTGTAGATAACATTTTCATAATATCCCTACCATGGGTTTTGATAGTCTGCCGGCCATTTCCCTGTCCCCAGGCAGCATGCAGTAAAGGGCGTGAACCCTATCGAAGTTAATCCTGAAGCTCTAAGTCTAGGAAATGGGTACTGCTCCCCACCCACCCAGTAACAGTCTGTACTAGGGCTAGGACGACAGATTCTATATCAATATCTGAGAGCTTTCCAGCCGTTATTGAGTAAGGCAGTATGCAATCTATGAATATGGTGCATGGAGGAAATCTTGCATTTTGTATTGCCACAAATAGCGGGCAGTACCAATATAGCGGCAATGACGTTGCATGCGGGACTTTAATTCGTGTCCACGGAAATATTTACTTTGGCCCTTAATATAAACCCTAAACCCTAAACCCTCAGAGTCTACACGACACAACCTAGGTGACGCTGTTGTGGCCTTAGGATGAGGGGAAACATACTAAGTGAGAATCGTCTATAACAAGGTGCAGATCTGCATTCAGGGTTCAGGGTTTAGGGTGGAAGGTTTCCAAGTTTCCTATGTGTCCTCCCTTTACGTTTGCGAGTTACAAAGGAGGCGTTTGATGCCATTAGAATTTCTCCGCTACCCTCCCCATTTGACCAGTAGTAGCCGGCTTTGTCTGGGCCCTAAACCCTAAACCCTAAAGCGAAGACAGGGCTTAATTAGGTTTACACAGCCTCTGGGCAGAAGAATATATCGCCTCTAAACCCTAAACCCATATTACCCCAATGTATAATAGCATTCATGTTACCCCAATATATAGCCATATTCTATCTACTGAAGGGGATATTTACCTGACCCTAAACCCTAAACCCTAAACCGTGACCCTAAGGCCTTCGTTCAGCTGTCAGATGGCTCTCAGCGCGTCATCGAACAGGCGCTGGGCCGAGTTGACTGCTAGGGTTTAGGGTTTAGGGTTTAGGGAAACTGGGTTGCTGTTAAGGAACTTAAATTAAGTTACTATATTGGGGAAACCCGATTATTTACTATATATACCCNNGGGTTTAGGGTTTAGGGAAACTGGGTTGCTGTTAAGGAACTTAAATTAAGTTACTATATTGGGGAAACCCGATTATTTACTATATATACCCATTATGGTAACTTAATTTAAGTTCCTTAACAGCAACCCAACAAAGGGGCCTAGGGTTCAGGGTTAGAGTCTAGGGGTTCTATAGGGGTCTAGGGTTTAGGGACTTAGGGTTGTAGGGGTTCAGGGTTTTAGGGGTTTAGAGGTTTAGGGTTTAGAGGTTTAGGGTTCAGGGTTTAGGTTTTAGGGGTTTAGGGCTCAGGGTTTAGGGTTACAGTTTGAGGGCTTAGCATTGTTCATTAACCTCCTCGCTTCATACGAAACACTCCCATCCACTAACAACAAGTAATTCCCCTTACCTAGTGCGTAATGGTACTACATCATAAGTGGGAGGCCATTAGCTACATTAGCTACATAGGGGACAGGCTTCAGGGTGTCACGCTCTTCCCCTATGGCATCCCATTCAGGAAGCAAGGGTCCTGACCCACTTGTAGATTTGTTCCATTCCGTTAGGGGGCATTGCTGCCAGCCTGAGCCCTAAACCCTATAAAGCCCGAGCACTAAAGCTTGACCGCGTGGTTCATACCCCGCGTATGAGGATGCATTGGTTACTCTGCTGCACAAGCAGTCCACGGACAACCAGGATCCGGCTTTAGGGTTCAGGGCTTACACTTGGGCCGCAAAGTTGGTATGTGAAACCGTTTGGTCCCTAAGTATAGACTTATGCCTACATGGACCCTTTGGCAATGATTGGTACTAAACATCCTGCATAATTTTAGTATATCAAAACACCATAACTGACGATTTGTCCAGGTTCTATTGTCATGGAGGATTTTGGGCATCCTCCCAAGGGACTTGTTTTCGGTAGCTTATGGTAACCCATTCTAGCAGGAAGGTATTCTAACGGCAAGCATACTCATACGTGTCAAAGATGGGCACGTGTTTTTAGAGCTCCTGGTCGATTCAGTCTTTTGGGTTTGGGAATGTTCTGTGCGGGTTTGCAGCTGCTGCGGCTTGACAGCCCCGAATCAAATTTTAGGGCAAACCGGATGTCCCGGATTGAGGTTCAGGGTCTGGGATTCAAGGATTCTCTAAGCGCACAACTGATAATCCATGCACCGACTTTACCACCCAGCTCACAGGGGTCTGTGGTTGGCGGCACGTCCTGGGCCGACCGGCCTTTGTTGACGTTGTCAGAGCATCCATCGAAGCTAAGCGTTCTAAACACTCCCACCAACAGGGAAGACATCACAGACCTCCACCCCAACCATCTCCTGAGAGGGCTTAAGGGGTGGCACCCTGCCAAAGATCCTTTGGGGGTACAGTACTTCAATAAACTCGAATCTTAACTCGCAATTTTCAAATCTCCTAATTACAAACCTGGAAGCCAATAATTAAACGGAAGAAATCAAAGCATTGAACCCTTAAAGTCTCGTGACTCAGAACCCCTAGGCCGACCCTCCCCAGAACTAGCATGGACTCGCAAAAGGGTCCTTACGACTGCCTTTTCAGAACGGGGCTGCGCAGGCTTTCCACCTTTGAATGTGAACACCCCTACCCAGCAGCTGATCCTGGTGGGCCTAATCCCTAGAGCCCAAAACTCCATTGAACCCGAAAGGACCCTCAACCCCACCTAAGCCCCCAAAGTGTGTGGAATCACGTATGTTCTGCCAAATTTGTGTGAGGCTATGGTGTTTACATACTGTTGGTCCGATTGTACCCCATACCACAAACCTACATGAACCCTTTGGGGTTACTTGTTTTGACCTTTTGGGTTTACCATGTGTTTACGGAACCAGCTTATGAAGTATTGCAATGCGGTCAGACTGGGCTTATTAACGGATACAATACCCTAAACCCTATAACCCCCGACAAATATACATATCATATTTATACACCTTATACACAAAGATGATTCATTACCTAACTCCAGGGTTCCTAAAACTTGAACTAAAACCCCAAGTCCTAAACCCTAAACCTTAAGCCCTAAACCCCCAAACCTCGGAAGGATGCCATGAACATCGAAAGGGGCTTCGAAGCCTTGTACGGACAGAACGAGAAGAGGACTTTGACACAGTTTGGGGGTTTAGGGCTTAGTGATAAGGGTTTAGGGTTTAGTTTTACCTAGACCCTCCAATGTTGTACTTTTTTGGTAGTCCTAATAAGGGTCCTAACCAAAAAACCATGCCAAACCTAAAAGGAATTACATTGGAAGGCCTAGCTAGGGCTTAGGGTTTAGGGCTTCGGGCTTTAGATTGAGGGTCTAGACCTTTTTGAGGTTTAGGGATCAAGTTGTTTCAGGGTTGGTGTTTGAGGATTCACGGCTTTTTTGCACTTGTTCGAGAGGAGCGTGCTGACCTCAAGGGTACGGTGGGGGGCCAGTGATCAACCTCCAACTGAGCGTGACCTCCCACACGCAAGTTGATGCAAGGATCCTCTTCCACAACACCCGCGACAACAAGTTGGATGAAGTGCGCACCGTTTAAGTCGCCAAGCGCCATGTTGGTCAAGCTTTTGATCTAGTTCTTGATAACCAAAACCCCTAAACCCTAAGCCCGAAGGGGCAGCTTACTCGTTAAGACCTCCAAGCGCTAAACCGCCTACAGCCCCTAGCCCTAAATCAGGTTCAGACCGACCCCAAATAGCCAGATATCTCTAAACTAACCCTGACTTTGGCTTTACTTGGGGCTGGGGGCGATTGAGGCCGGGAAACATATGATCAAATTAGGTTGGGGACTGCAAGCTTGACAGTCCTATCACTTACCCCACACCTCCGAACCCAGAGCCTGTAATCCGGAAATCCTGAAACCCAAGCTGCTCCTTTATTCCAAACCCTAACATCCCTAACCTCCTGAGGCCTCAAAGCCCCAGGCGTCTGAGAGCTAAGGTCTCTATCTCTGAAGCTCGCACACCCCTCGCAACTCTTCGCGGATTCTCCTCAGTCGAAGGTGGTGTGGTCTCCGATTTCAAGCTTCCCCTCTTTGCGGGGTGTGTAAGGGTTATATGGTAGTGTTTGGGTTTAGGTTTCAGGTTTGGGTTTAGGGTTCAGGGTCGGGAGTGGAGAACGGAACACAGAATGAAAAATGACACGGACAAGCGGTAAGGAAAGGTTTTTTATGGGCTATTATGTAGACATTGGGGGGATTCTCAATAGCGTGGCCTTTTTGGGGGTCCTGGTATAAGTCTTTGGCAACGCAATCCTCAACCGCGATATGACTCAGGGGGTACATGGGGACAACGAAGGGCACAGTAGAGTAGAGTTTAGGGTCTAGGGTCTGGCTTTCGGGCTTTCGGGCTTAGGGTTTAGGGTTTAGGGTCTACGGTCTGGGTGTAGAGCAGAGTAGAGTAGAGTTGTTTCCCCTCATGCCTGTATGGACCCTCAAGAAGGGGACGCATAGCTTTGGGAAACACGCATATACACATCTTTGGTGATTATTGTAGGGTGTTCTAGAGCGCGCACAAGCCATGACCAATGTCATGGGTCGCATTTGAGGACACTGTAAAGGACTTTTGGTTCAGGTTTGGGCTTTAGGGTTTAGGGTGCAGATGCCGACGTGTTCGCTTAGAAAACAGCCGCGCGATCAGCTGAGAATATGTTCCTGCCGGGCACACTGGCTTTTTGACGGGAAGGGAGAGTATCCCAGGTAAACACAAATCTTGTACCCGAAACCCTGAATCCTAAACCAAAGAACATACCCAAGGGATCCAAAGAGCCCAAGGCAGTATATTTTTGCAGACTTTAGTGCCCAATGTCGGTATTATTTGTATACCTGGATCCCTAGGATTACAGAGGAGCACCTACCCGACGAAGGAAGAATCTGCAGTTGCGCGATATGAGCTGTAGTCTAAACTCCTTAAAGCGGGGTTATATAGGGGATTATATAGGGGACTATTATAGGGGGTTATTAAGGGGGATACTAGGAGTTTAGACTATGGCTCATATGAGCCTGTGCAGCCGCAAGAAGGGACGGAGCAGTAGCAGCATCAAAGATGCGTCAACAAACTTTTAAAGTTATGCTGTGGGAGAAAAAATTCTGGGATCCGTTCTAGTGGCTCAGGTTTCAGACATCAGTGCATAAGGTGCAAGGAGCAGTGGTTGGGGATTCGGTGTTAGGGAGCAGGTTTTTGGGTTCAGTGATAAGGAAAGAAACCACTGCCCGGCACTGCAGCCATCTAAAATCGTGACCTGAACCTCAAAAAATGATGCCCCGAAACCCACCCACAAAAAAAATAACGTTCCACACATTTTTGTGATTCAAAAATTGGCACAAGAAAGTGGGTGACATCATAACCCAGAACCCCTAAACACCGCCCGAAAATGCCATGTTATACATAACATTCAGGGCTCAGGTAAGTCTTAACCCTAAACCCCCAACCTTCAACCCTGAACCCTTAACCCTGAACCCTCAAACCTAAACCCTAGACCCCAAAGCCCGCACCAGACCCAAACCCTAAGCTGCACAATGCCTTTTTTAGGGTTTAGGCTTTAGGGTAAAGATAGCTTTCAGAACATAGGCGAACATAGGGATAGATAGGGTTATAGGGGGGATGTATAGTGACATGTTCAGGGTTTATCTGGGGTATCTAGATTATACATGGATATGTATAGGTGCCCCTTTGTGGAAGTCGGTTGTTTTGGGGTATGTAAGGCCTTGCGTTCAGCATGCTCGCACATGGGGCCTGGCATTCACAGAGCAAAACCCAAAGTCGTAAAGTTGCAGCAGTCGCGGGCTTGTCAAGTTTCAGAGTTTGGCTTACAGAGCTATAGTCTATAATAGTCCCTCTATAGAAGATGGCTTTGGGTAAATCATAATAAGATCCCCATATACCCCACATTCTTTCTACTTAAGGGGGGCTATAAAGCCTGAGCAACCGGGTTCAAGCAGTTTTGGGTGGTCAAAAGCTATGAGGCCATAGGGGTTGCAGCGTCGACAGTAGAGGCTTGAGGCCGAAGCTGTGTAAGTTCAGGCTTCAGGGTAAAGGGTTTAGGATTTAGGGTTTAGAGTTAAGGGTTTAGGGCTTAGGGTTTAGGGCTTAGGGTTTAGGGCTTAGCAGTTAGGGCTTAGGGTTTAGGGCTAAGGGCCTAGGATTCAGAGCTTAGGATTTAGGGTTTAGGGTTTAGGCTATGATGTGCTCTGACTGTATCAGTTAACAATATGGATACTAGGAGTTATAACAGCCCCTTAATACAAACCCTTTTAAAGGGCAGCTATATTCTAATGAGAAGGACACAAGCTATAGGGTGTAGACTTGAGGTTATCTGGGTATTCTCGGGGCCGTCTCTACTTCCCCCCACCTCCCTAGATCCTAGGTTCCCCCTCCATGAACCTGAATTAGGCTTAATCATCCGTCAAAAAAAATTGGGAGGGGAACCTAGGGGGGGGGGTAGTGTAGAGGGGGGTAGTTACTAAGGGAAACCCATGAGCTTAGAGTCCCCCTTAAGTAGATAGAATATGGGATATATGGGGATCTTATCATAACATACCCAAGCCATATTATTCTATCTACTAAGGGGGGACTATAGAGTTGAGTTCAGAGTTCACAGCCTCGAGTATTCTGGAGATAGGGTCGCAGGTTGAGACGTTCACGAGTAGAGATGTACATCCTATATATAGAAGCCCCAAGCGCTGGGGTCAGAGGCGCCGATGATATCGGGTGAAGGATTACGCATCGAAATTATTTGGAGGATATCTTGGAAGGTTGCCGGCGTCCTCCGAACCCTAAACCTAAACCCCTAAACCCCTAAAAAAATAAAGGCCAGCATATATTCTACATACTTATGGGTCTGGGTGGTAAACACAAATTATGGAGAAAGTCAGTATTTGAGGTAGGGGTGGGGAGTTGATGATGGTCCCCCTTGATAAAGGGTTTAGGGTTTAGGGTTTCCGTCCCAAACCCTGGAAGCCAAGCAACCGACTGGAGCTCCAACTACTAAACCCTAAGCCCCAGGTAGATCCTATGGGTACTTGGGCACCCAGTGTCCAGTCCACATGAAGGGTGTGGTTGATTCAAGGTTCAGGGCTTAGGGCGCGGGATCTGTATTTATGGCATGGTTATGGTTTGGGCAGGGATAGTATTGTTGATGGAGACATGCAAGCCCCCTATTTAAAGAATAGGCCCAGCTTCCACTTCATTATTGGTTTCCTTTTGCAATTGATTCTCCATATTATTGGGGCAAGGCCTCTAAACCTTATTCTTCGCAGAGGTTGATGCGCATCCGTCTTTCTAGCAAACTCTTCAATCTCATCATGGCTCCGTTCACAGCTCCTAAGCAGTAGTAAGAGGATTTGTAACCCCGAACCCATACAATAAGGACCGGAGGAGAATTCCCTGTGAGTCCAATAGGTTCCGAATGTCGGGGGGCTGTTACCAACCAAGATTCTTCTCATATCCTGACGCAGCGTTTGGCTTCATCGTTTGTTATGCGTTGATTGATAGACTAGGGTGGCGGGTGTCCGCATTCCGCAGGGTCCCCGCGTGTGCAGCGTGTTGCTGACAACATGCCAGGCGCAGGAGGGTTACGGGTTTGGGCTTCTTTAGGGCTTAGCATTGTCTTGAGGGTGGAGATTTCAGAAGAAAGTCCGTGTATAGTCCCCCTTAAGTAGATAGAATATGGATTTGGGTATGGTACAATAAGATCCCCATATACACCATATTCTATCTGCTTTAGGGGGGGCTATCTATAACATGCTTAAACCCCAATGGAAGTTGCTCAAACTGGCCCCTATATGGTTCCCACCCCCTACACAAGCTTCAAGCCGACTCGCAACTCTAATGCAGGTACTGCTTTTCTTGCCTATACTAAACAGCCCCAACCCCAACTGGCTCCCAGTGTGGACTATGATCCGCAAGGGTTTGCCGCGTACCCTTCCCCTTCCCCAACCTTACATGGAACCCCTTCCAGGCCCCTTTGAAGGAGGGAGAGTGAACCGTCAGCCTTTGGTTTAGGGTGTCGGATTTTTGTTTAGGGTTTTGGGTTTAAGGGTGTAGGGTTTTGGTTTAGGGCTTTGGGTTTAAGGGTTTTGGGGTTGAGGGGTTTAGGGTTTTGGGTTCAGGGTGTAGATATTTGGTTTACGGTTTAGCGTTTGGGAAACACTGACTTTCACCGCCTGCAGATCTTCGAGATTTGTCTGCAACATTTAGGTAGGATAGCCTAGACAGGCCATCTCCAGCGACAATATGCTGCTATGTTCGAAGCCAACCAAGCGGTCATGGTCACCGTCATCATCATCATCATCATCATCATCATCACAGCATGTCATTGCACATATTAATACCTTTTCAGTCGCTGTTACGACCACTATTGGTATGGTTCCTGTTAGAAGTATCAACTACTGTCTCCAAGCGGTATCAATAGTTGTATCTATTCTTGAAACCCCTTCAATCACTTATCGGCCCTTGCCGAACAGGCCCCTATCGTTTCGCTATAGCAGCGCAGGCGCGTCTGCTCAATTCCAAACGCTTCAGACGTCCAGATCTTCAGATT